TACATATATATATATATATGTATGTATGTATATGTATGCTGTGGAAATCATAGAATTTTTAAAATATTCATATTGAATTATTTTTTTTTTAATTGTAAATTTGAGTTTTTTTTTTTTTTTTTTTTTTTTTTTTTTTTTTTTTTTTTTTTTTTTTTTTTTTTTTTTTTTTTTTTGTCATAACCACCCTCCAAAGTCCATCCATAAAGTTTTGAATTAAGATTTTAGGGGTTAAAATGTAATATTTAAACTTTTGGTGGTTTAAAATAATATATTTAATATTTTGGGTTATTGGTATATAAAAACTCCATTTTCTATACTTGAATAATTATATTTCAATGTTATATTAATTTTTTTAAAATACAAAATAGTGGGTTTTTTGTTGGGTGGTATAAATGTAAAAAGAAAATTTAAATCTTAGATATACAAATACATAAGAATTGGGTGGTATGGGTATTTATGTAAATAGCCCAAAATTATAGCGTGAATATTAAAAAAAAGATATTAAAGAGAAATAAAAATATGGAGAATTAATATACACAAGAATTAGTGGTATTGTATGTAAATCCTCCTCAAAAATAGAATCATGGATAGATGACAAAAAAATAAACCAATTTTACATACATGCCACTCAATTCTTATGTATTTGCATATATAAAAGACCTACATTTATAATATGTCTTGAAGAAGTTAGTAATAATGTTATTTTTTACAAGAGAATATTTCCCCGTGTTATTCCGTATTATTCAGGTGTTTTATATGTTATTGAGGTGTTTTATAATCTGAGAATATTTTCGGTGTTATAATAATACAATAATACATCAATAACACCTGAATAACACACAATAACATCTGAATAACATGGGAGGAATATTCTCTTGTGGCGTGATTTCATTGACTCAGTAGTTAACTCTACGTGCGAAGTCCTAATGCAATATTTTTCTGTTTAAGGGTAGGATATCCAAATACATAAAAATTAGGTGGTGTGTATGTAAATTTGGTTTTCTGACGTAACCGGCCGTGCGGGTGGAAGCGAATGACGTTAACACATATTAGTTAATCCATCCTGATCTCCCGAAACTGAATTTTACAGGCATATGCCGGTGACCGGGTCGGGTCGATGGGCTGCATTGGGTCCGAATGTGGGCTACGTGTCGGGACAAGGTTGGTCCGGTGTTGTTGCTGCGGTTATCAGAGCGCACATTCCGTGCTGCCTTTGTGGGAGTAGACGTGCACGAGCCCGGTTCCGGATATATATATATATATATATATATATATAAGAAAGAGCAAAAATAAAATATTTAAAATATGCCTTTTTTTTTTAATTAGTCCAATCATTTTAGAATGTGGGGTCGGGTCTTGTAATGTTTTTGGGTTCACATAACCGGAGAGAGACGTGTACAAATGATGGAAGAAGATGATGAATGTATTCTCGAGACTAAACTATATGTTATGGTTTCTAATCCCCTCCGACAAAACAGAGGAGTTGATCTCATGGAAAGAGAGGACGAGAAGGATTTCGGGGGAGTCATGGCTTGCGGTTCCCCCAAAAAGGTCTTTAGAGATTGTCTCCTTTCTCCAATCACTCTTCTTTTTATACATATAAAAAAAATATTGAAATATATTGTGTCGTACAAAAATCTGTCTACAATAACTTGATGTAAAGATAGTGATGTGTGTCAGATGGATCATAAATAAGGATGTGACATATGTCAATAATTCACAACGGTCTTGACTTTTGCATTCTTATAGTTACGAGGACTGTAACGAAGACGAGCTAGGCTAATGAGTCTTATTGATAATTTTGTCAAATAGTTAGGTCAGTTTGACAAGCTAGTTCGTCAACATAGTTCGATAGGTCACCTAGGAAGCTAGAGTAAGACATGGGACACGTCAGCGAGATAAGTTGGCGGGTCACCCTAACAAGTTACTCAAACAAAAAGTCGTGGCTTTCGGATAGTTGGGCTCACCTTGGCTCACGAGGCTTGCTGAGTGCAAACTTTGGTATAAAAACTGATCTTTTGTATGATATTTTTATGTGATATAAGAGATTTGAGTGATATAAATGTAAAAAATATAAAGTTTAGTTATTTGGCATGCAAATACATAAGAATTGGATGATATGTAAATGCCTTTTTACAATTTTTTCCTATAAATATTTGGATTTTACCCACCATAATAAAACATATGTTTTTTTAGATTACATGATCAGCTGAGTCATCTGATATAATTTTATACTTTTGTTGGCATGATTTTACAAAACGCACTTCTTCGTAAATAATTCAAGCATTGGAGAGATCAATCATATGATGAAATGATCACATTATAATAAGGTTTTGGTTTGTGAGTTCATTCAAAGAATGGATGAATGTATTGGAAAGATATTCACAAATAAAAGAAATTGATAGAATCTTTTTCATTTTGTTTGGGGGGAGGTGCGGTGGCAGTTCCGCATCGCAGTTTTGTCTGTTTAGGGTAAACTAAGTTTTGTGCTGCTGAAATCTACTTTTTCTCAGTCATGGCTAGGTGTGGTGGCAGTTTTCTAGATGCGGTTTCACTTTTTCCAAAAAAAAAATTTGCAATAGTCAGAGCAGTTTTTGAACATCAGATTATTTTTCAGTAGTTTCACAATTGTTTTTTAATAAGCTGCAACTGCCCCAAACAGACCCTGAAGTCACAATTTCAACAATTATTAATTTAAATTGTAGTGCATCGATTTTAATAATATTGATATTTTGATCATAAATTGAAATATTAAATAACAGAAAAAAAAAAGAAATGATTGCTAGAAAGATTAATTAAATAAGGCTGACAAATTAAAAGAATAATAACTAATTATTGCCAGTCAACGTCAACTTTCATTAATTAATTACAGGTTTGTTAATAGTTCAAATCCATTACTTATTAAAACCATTATAGTCCCAAATTTTTTTAAATTATTATTATTATTATTATTATTATTATTACTATTATTATTATATATATATATA